TTAAAAAATTACAATTTAAGTACCAAATTAATGAGGTTTAGGTATTATTTTCGTCGAAGATATTTTGACGTAGAGCTGCCATCTGTTTAATTATTTTAATTAAAATTCCAACCATGCAAATATTACAATGTGGTTATCGAAATAAACTAGGTTAAAAGATTTTTATTAACTTTTTTTTTAATGTTACCACCTGTTTGAAAAATTTAATTCAAAGCAATTTATTCAATGTTTCTGATATTGTGATATTAAATGTTGGTATCAAATCAATGACATTTGTAAAATCTTTGATGTACCTAAAATATTTTTGGAGTATTAGGATAATCTATTTTTAACATCATAAAATATGTGGTATATGCAATACATGCAATATTATTATCTTTCGCTCTTATGCAAATCGACTACTAATTTTTGTTACTCACGCGTCGTGCAAAAATTGAATATCATAAGCAAATGAAATTCAACGGTGACGAATAGGAAAAGGCAATGAAAGAACAAATCACCAACAATGAAGCATACAATAACGGCGAAGGCTGGCGAAAAGAAAGTATACAGATTCTGCAAAAACAACAAAAGTAATTTTATGAAACGTTTATAACGGCAGTCATACACATCGTCAGATCACCTCACAGAGTCCAGCGAATAGAAAAAAACCCGCTATGAAAGCCGTCAAATTCAGTAGGAACGTGATCCATAAATATGTCGTTGGATGGCCATACGCTGTAATTGGTAATGAAACAAAAAATATTGTTAAAACTCGTATCAATAGAAAACCATTTTTACTTAATTTATAGTTCAACCCTTTCATTTCCAGTTACTTGAAAGATTTTATAATTTTTGCACAAAAATACTCCTTTCTTTCTAAAAATCCTTGACTCTCACCGCTAAGCTCCACTATGAGTTGATAGGAACGCGGATGTTGATTTAGCGCAAAGAAGGACATAAAGAAAGTTTTTGTGCAAAACAGTAAGGTTATGCCGATTGCGATAATTTTGTCGCCCCTAAACATTTTCGTATTCACTATCTAATTTTTATATTCAATAAGAAACGCCAGAATGACATAAAAAGTTTACAGGGCAACATAGAGTATTAGAGAATTAAAAAATTGTAATTGTAATTTTTTGCTTAGCCTGAGGGTCAAATTTGTAGTTTATTAAAATAGAAAATTTTTGGAAAGAAAATTTGGAAACTCACTTTTTAAGTAAAGTTTCGAGTTAAAAAAAAAAATTAAAATTAAAATTGTTGAATAAAGTTCTGTTAGTACCATTTATGTATTCTTTATTATAAATAAAATGCTTTAAAAGTAAACACGTTCAATGTGCAACATGTAGAAATGTGAACGAAAGTTTTGCGGCAAGTACGAAAGCCCGTAGCACTCTCCAACTCTTGTATTCCAGCTCCCCATGTCTATTCCTTCACAAGCTTTTGAATTTCAATTGTACTTATAACTTGGTCGAGTACAAAACATTTCATAGCCCAAATTATGTGGTTATAAGATGGACAATTGCATGCAAAGTTGTAGAAGGCACACAACTATAAATAACAAAAACAAGTGAGAGAGCCAAACACATTGTGGAGACTTTATAAGTGGATTCTTAAGCAATTTGTGGAACACTTTATAATGCTGATTGTAGGCACATATGGCAAGCATGCAGTGGCAGCAATTTTATTACTGTAGATTCTTGTCTGGCTGTCAGTGAAGTAAATATGTTTTCTCTCTCATTGCAAGCTGCCAAAAACTTGACGATTATCAGCCACAGATCCGACTGAATAAATCTTTGCATATTTGTTTGCTTACGGCTTACTGTTATACCAGAGAACTTAAAACAAGTTGTTATACTATATGCCTACAAATGTGGTCTATATATTTATGTATATGTATGTAAAGGTATATTTATAATATATATATATATACAACAAAAAATATACATATGTGCCAACTGTAAACTCACAGCCTACTGCAGCCAACAACTGCTAGCCTATTCATAAAACTTCCTCTTAGAACAAACATGGTTATATTTCTGTTTATACAGGTGTCTTAATAGACAAACCTTTAGGAAAATCGAAACAAAGGATATGTTTTGTTGTTTTTTTTTTGTGCAAGAAGCTGTATATTGCTTAAGTTCTACTGCAGATATTTAACAGCTCATCATTTTTTGAGTACCAACAGAGGTTGACATATAAGTATTATATTAAAATATTTAGCGTCTGAAGCTTCGACGTGTTTGACTAATTTCTTAGTACACTTGTCGTAAATAAAACAAGAAAAAACGTTAATTTCGGTTGCACCGAAGCTATAATACCCTTCACAACTACAAAAGATTCCTTGCAAGAATTGATTCAGTTTGTATGGCAGCTATAAGCTATAGTCATCCGATCTGTCTTAAGTAATTGCATTGTTGCTTTAGGCAATAAGACTTATCAAATTTGGTGAAGATATCTCGTCAAATGAAAAAGTTTTCCATACAAGTACTTGATTCCGATTGTACAGTTTGTATGGCAGTTATATGTTATAGTCATTCGATTCGAATCATTTTTTCGGAGATTGTATTATTGCCTTAGTTAATAATCCGTGCAAAATTTCAGATCAATAACTCAAAAACTGAGGTACTAGTTCGCGTATATACAGACGGTTAAACGGATAGAGAGAACTAAATCGACTCAACTTATAATACTGATCATTTATATATCTATTTTATAGGGTGTCCGAAGTTTCCTTCTGTGTGTTACAAAGTTTGTGGTAAATTTATTATACCCTGTTCAGTATAAAACTACAAAAAAAAAAAACTTCTGAACAAACCTGGCACTTTAAACATTCAAGAAAGATCTTAAATTACGTCTCTCATCTCAGCTAAGCGAAATTCGCTGCCAGAGAGAGTATTGCTCTTCACAACGCTAAGCTAGTAAAGTGGAAAGCTCTCACTTTTGATTTATGTCCAGTTCAACATATGTTCCAATATTTCCTAACGGGACGCTTTTTACTGTGTTGTCTCACACATAGGTATGTACATAGACACACACTTACTTACTGGCAGAAATAAATTGCCATTTTCATTTAAATACACGCATTCGTGAATATCCTCACCAAACTAAAACCACAAGTTTTCATATATTTTGTAAACTTTTAAACTTTAATACTCAGCTTAGAATAACAAAGTTTTTGTCTTCACACATGACAGCACTTTATGTGTGTTAGTTTTATTGTTTGTTAAATTTTAAATGAATTTAGATGCAAGTTTATACTATATATGCATTCGCAGGTAAATATTAAATAATAAAAATACAGATTTGTAGTTATTTATAAATACAGTTGCTTTTAGTTTCTTTGGTATGAAAACAATTTTTCAAGTTTTCGAAAAACATATGAGATAATTTTGTTTAAAAAAGGTTAGACCTGAATGAAAGTGGTTTTGTTTTGCCGGGATTTCTGTGAAAATTTTGTTGGATACACAATACTAACTACGCAAGTTGTAAGAATAAGCTTCAGGTCTCTCTTATGCTATCGAAATGTGCTAGCAAACAGCTACAGTGTAGGGCTGTTGAAAGACAAACTAAAAGCCTCATATTGAAGTTCAAATTATTTCCGCAATAATCATATACTAACCACTTTTTCCGGCCCACAGACTTCAAGAAAAGGATCATTTAAAAGAAAAGTGTAGACAATAGAGGATTAAAAGCCGATTCGAACACCTATTTTAAAACTAAAAACAAAAGAAGTTGAATCACTTCACTTTATTGGGACGAAATTTTGGTTTGTAAATCATGTCAAGAAATAGGCGCTCCCATTGAACACTCCGTTAGAATATTTTAGAGTTTAGTTTATTTAAGAGAGTATACCACGTTCAGGGGTTAGTGAAGAAGTAAACTCTCAGGAACTTTCTATCAGCTCTTGTTTTAGGATTCCTGACCACTGCAGTGTCTTCCAAACGGCGGTGGCTGCCATAAAAGTATAAAGGGATATTATCCACTCTGATAGTAGAGCAAGTAGCGATGTTAGCTTTGAGTTCGCAGACTGTGCGCTCAAGACTTTTGAAAGGATGTCTAGACTCCTTAGCTGAGAGCCAACTACAGGTGTTTTTTCGTTTGGCTTTACAAAGGACTGTATATAACAGTTTTAGTGTGATCCCACGCCATGTTGAGCCATCTTACCTGACCGAAGCTATACCAAGTTCATGTATAATCCAGCTACTAATAGATAAGGTCGAATATTCGAGAGAAAGTTATTGAATTGGTTTTTTTAATACGCACTACCTCATGCATTTTTTTGGTGTAACTTCTTCAGGATCTTGATTATAAACTTGTAGACTAACGAATCGAACAAACACTAGTATTAATCAAGTAGACTTGCATTATCAGATGAAGATAGAACAGCGATTGTACTACTTTAATGAGATGTCCATGTGCTCTCTTCTTTTGTATCTGTAGTTGGATAATTTTGTTGTTGCTGACACATACCAAGCTTTTGAATAAAGAGCAGAGACCAATCAAAGCGAGGAAGAAAGTGGTGAATCGAAAGCGTCCAATATAGAATTGAACTAAAAATAAAAAGATTTAATATTTTATTTTTCTTTAAATCAATATTAGTAATCTTCTCATCATGTTTCATAATCGGTAGAGCAAAAAATCATAAACAAACTATTGCACTGAATCTCCCGTTTTTATACCCCTATAGCCACACAATGGGTAAAATTAAATTTCAGCACAGCTCTTAATTATGACTACTTACTTATTGTACTTAAAAAACCGGAACTTTCTAATAAATTACTACGCTAGCAGTGCAAAAGTTGCATCATAGAAAATTTAAGGTGGGAGCAACAACTTTTAATTAAATTTCGAAAACAAAAAACTTCAACTTGAAGTTTGTAATATTGTCAACAAAAGAAGGAAAACGAGAGAGAGAGAGTGAGAGAGAGAACGAGGGAGTGCGCTTGGTGGTCCAAGTGTTGTAGCGCGCATTAATCACATTATTTTCGATGTCACCAAAGCGAAAATAAAATATAGAAAACAGAAAATAGTAAATAAACAAACAAACTTATTAATGAATGCCAGAGAAAGAGACCAACAAAAGGTTAGAAAAGAGTAGAGTGTGGAAATAAACAGATTATTTATTGCTAGCGCGCGGAAAGCACAGGGCAGGCGTTGCCACTGATTTCGAAAGCACATTAAAACTGCTTACTTATAGTTATAAGTATGCTTGCTTATTTAAGAAGAGGGAGTGTAACACTAAGAGTAAGAATACTAAAGTAGAGTATCAGCAGTCTTCTCAGTGCTCTTTTCAGTCTCAAGTGTAAATAAATACATTAGCAGGACAGCTGCCAACCCAGAAGGGTACTCATATTCATTACTTTCCATTTTCCAAGAAAAAGTAAAGCAAAACGTACAAGGTGCGTTCCAAAGAAAACAGGACTTAAAAAAAAAGACAGAACAAATGGTTTTATCGGCAAAATCAATTAATTTTATTCAAAATATTCTCCTTCTGCTTTAATACAGCTTTTTGCACGGTCCAAAAGCATGTCCAACGAGTGTTTTAGCTCGTTGCCCGGTATGGCCGCCAGTATGCCGATGCAAGCCTTTTGAATGGCTTCCACGTCTGCATAACACTTTCCTTTCATCGGCAAATGCATTTTTCCGAAAAGGTAGAAGTCGCACGGTGTCATATCAGGTGAATACGGGGAGTGGTTGATTGTTTAAATGTGTATCGATCGATGAGACGGCGCATTATCATGCAACAAACGCCAACTTCCATCTTCGCGATATTCGGGCCAAACACGTCAAATACGTCACACCAAACGCTTCAAAACTCCAAGGTAGAATACCGCATTAACATTTTGGCCGGGTGGAACAAATTCTTTGTAGACAATATCCTTGGCAGCATAAAAACCAATCAGCATTGTCTTCACTTTTGACTTCTCCAGGCGCGATTATTTGGGTTTCGGCTCGTCCGGCGCCTTCCATTCAGCACCCTGGCGTTTCGTTTCGGGATTATATTAAAAACACCACGTTTCGTCACCAGTCACAATCTTATAAAGGAAGTTCGGGTGTTTTTTTGCCTCTTTAATGATGTCCTTCGAATGTTGAATTCTGAGCAATTTTTGGTCGTCAGTCAATTTGTGCGGAACAAACCGTGCACACACCTTTTGTAAGCCCAAATGTTCGGTCAAAATGCGATTAATCGATGTTTTGGAGATGTTCAATTCTATTTCCGTGAATTTCAATGATGATTTCGGCTGATTTTTTATGAATTCACGCACAGTTTCGATGGAATTTTCGGTGATCACGGATTTTGGTTGGCCCACATAACAGGAGGATTAGATAAAAGGTGAGCGTAAAAATGAGAAAAGAACATTAATAGAGCTGTTTAAGGTAGCTTGTACTCGTAATGCATCGTCAGCACAAGCTGCTGTTGTCGTCAAGCTATTTGAAGAGAGTAGTGACTTGCGGCGGTCATCAAAATGAAAAATATGGTTAATAGAAATTTCTTTGCTATCCATTTCATCGAATATCTATTGCTTCTTCTCGGTTTTCCTTTAAATAACCGTTGTGTGTGCGATAGATAATACATGACTTACATTTATTTCAACACATATCATTAATTTACATATGTGCTTATGTATGTAAGCACCCTTCCATATGCAGCACATACTGTTTTATAAAAGTTTTGTGCAACGATTACGGTACTTCGGGTTAGGAGCGATAACTAGTAATCTATGTGCTGCCATTAACCTTAAATATCTAAAGCTTGTGCGTAATCGAACCAATAACAGTTAATAGTTGATTGACGTAATAAATGGTTGTTTTAGAGACGAATGGAAACCAAAGAAATGTGCAGAAAAATGTCGAAATATTTAAAAGAGGAGTTGAATACAAATAATTTCCTAGTAGAATTTATATACTATTTTTGAGATTTCATTATTAGCTGAACTTACGGCTATAAAAATGTGGAAAACGGTTGCCTCAAGGCCAACCCTGCAACTTCCGCTAATTTCATACGCTAACGTTCAAATTCGCTTTTTCACTGCTTTTGAGCTCTTCGAAATTTTTCGTTTTCAATATCTCGCAAGTAAATCAACCGATTTTGACCCGGTTTGCGGCAAACGATGTGTTTTTTCAAGGTTTAGAACTGATTAGTTTTTGGTGTTGATCGGTCAAACAATTTTTCAAAATTTTTATTTTTGAGATTTCTCAAAATCTACTGGTCCGATTGGGTCCAAACTCAAGTGCACGAAATTCAAGTGCAATGAAACCCTTTGGAATGCCGTTTAGTTTATTCAAATCGGTTGAGCCGTTTAAAAGTTATAAGAGGGTCACATACATCCACACACACACACATACATCCACACATACATACAGACATACGGACATCATCGTAGAAATGTTCGGGGAAGCTTCCTCGACCCTCAAAACGTCGAGATCTGTTGAGAAAATTAGAAAATTTTCCATTTTCTTAGCGGGAAGTTAAAAAAAAAAATTACTTCGCTGGCGCTGAAGTTATAGTAGCACAAGTAAAAAAATTTCCATACAATAACTTAATTTTGGACATTCAGTTTTTATGGGAACTTTGTGCTATAATAGTCCGATCTGAATAATTTAGCTTATACCGTTGCCTTAGAAAATAGTCCGTGCCAAATTTCGTGAAGATATATAGTCAAATGTAAGAGCTTTCTATACAAGCTCTTGTTACCGATCGTTCAGTTTGTATGACAGCTATATGCTATACTGAGCCGACCTGAATAATTTTTTCGGAGATTGCATTATTGCTTTAGACTATAATTCATGGCAAATTTCGTGAAGATATCTCGTCAATTGAAAAAGCTTTCTATACTAGAACGTAATTTTGATTGGTTAGTTTATATGATGATATATATGGTATTGTTATAGTAGGCGGCTCCGAAAAATGATTAGCTGCTTGGGAAGGAAGTAGACAAAATATCAGTTCGATATCTCAAAAACTGACGGACTAGTTCGCGTATAAACAGACAGATTGACAGACAGATCGAAAAACATTGATAAATCGTCTTAGTTCGGCATTATATACTATATACTTTATAGGACCTTCGATGCTTTCTTCTGGATGCAATAAATATGTTTAAATTGAAACTCAAACATCTTCCGGATTGGTCAGTTACATGCCTAATATACCATTAATTGGCTTATATAACATTTAACTTTTTTTCTTTTCTCGATAGATAGTAACTCTATGGCAAGAAAGGTATAAATTAAAGGCTAATACAATTTTTTTCAGTAATAGTCATACTGTGGCACACATTTAATTAAATTCCATCATATAACTAAGTGGCAGCCCTACTGCAGTTTGTAAGATTTTTCCAGATTTTTTTTTAATATCTTGTATTGCCTACATTTTATAATACAAAATGTGTCCTACTTAATATTAATTAAATTTTATTTTTGAAATACTTTTTGCCTAATATGTTTACTGCTTAATTTTTTCCCTTTAATTATTTGTTGCCGAAATAATTCTTCTTCTGTAAAAGAATATCTTTAACATAACACTGTTATTAACCAGCAGAAGCAACGTGCACTTGACATTCTTTCCAGCAGTATGTTGGTGCAAATATACAGCTATCAGCTTTTAAGATATTAAACCGCCATATACTGTTTTTATTGTTATTGTGTTAACGTAAACATTCCAAAATATTGTCTCAATCAATTGGTGAATAGTTGCGCATACGCTCCGTACACCCACATTTGTTTATTGCCGCAATAAAGTAGAAAACATTACATTGACCTACAACACATGCACCCTAATCTATATTATTCGTCCTTTTTTAAATTGTTGTCGTTGCCATTTGTTCGAAGTGCTAACAATTTATCATTGCTAAAGCGACACGCTGATAATAGTTACGCAACGTTTTCTGCTTCTGCATCATCTGCAATAAATTGGATGAGGGTGAAAAGCCAAAGCTATCTAAGTTGAATGCTTGGCATTTTAAAGATTAAACGGGAAAGATGATTTGATAGAAATTCGTCAATGTTTCTTAACTCTGTATAATATAATGATAATCTGATAAGCAGATTTTCTGTTAGCAGAAGCTACAAGTATATACGGCTGCACAGTTTCTGCGATAGTTTCGTCTACATAACCGCAACGGACATGGAATTATATCCGGCGAAGGACAAACAAGTCAAAAACAGCTCTTGAAATTATTTCGGTATTCTCTTCTTCTACAAAAACAGCAAAATATGTGACATGAAATGTCGTGTTCGTGCTTATTGAAAATAATAATTAAATAGTTCTTCTCTATCTTCGTGATTGTCGAACGTCCTGGAGCTTCTGTAGACTGACTATGTGTGGCCTGACGTTGTCCGAATAGAGAAGAATTCCTCTTCCATTGGCCAAAGCTGCCCGCTTCTGGCCGATTGCATTCTTCAAACGTTCCAACTGTTGACAGAAGAAGTCGAAATCAAAATTTTGGTCGTAGAAGAGTAGCTGATAATAGATTCCCTGCCAATCCCACCAAACACATTTAAAGACCTCTCTGGCCGTCAATCCTGACTTTGCCACCGTTTGACTATGATTCGGCTACGATCGTCTCCCAATGAAGTTAGTGTAGCAGCAGTAACCATATGCTGCCGAAATAAATCGATTTTGTTATGATTCAGCAGCGATTCGCTGATTGAAATTCGGTCTATGCGGTCTTTTTCTTTTAACTCTTGTGGCATCCCAACTTCGAGTTTCGTTTTGTATCCAGCCTTATAAGAGTTACAGCTTACTAAAGCCATTTGTTGGAAAAATTACGGTTTCTGTTTACTAGTTTTTATAATTTCGAAGCTATGCAAATTAGTCCAGTTTTTCGCTGAGAAGCCTCAATATATAAACAGAAATTTACGTTTTAGAAGCAAAGCCTCATATCGAGGTCTT